AATAAAATATTCTCAATAAAGAAACTATTGGGACAAGAAAATTAGGAAAGTCAGCCTATATAAATAGAACAGAGAAAATAATTGATTTTCTATAAGAGTTAATAATACAGAATATTGAATTTTTTTACCAGATGACTTATATTTCCTCATTTCATTCATTTCTCGATATATGTATCTAAAATCATTTGTTTTTTATTTGTATTAAAATCGAACTCAATTTTTTCATTTAGTGGTATTGTACGTGTTGTGGTTGAAAACAACAACCCGGAATAAAAATACAATAAATTAATAAATATTCATTTATCAACAATTATATAATTTGTTTAAAATAATAATTTATCTTGATCTCGAGAGTATTATTTTATAGGGCACGTATCTTTATCCAAAACGCAAACTTATCTTAGAATCATGACTAAATATTTTCAAAATTGGAAAGAGATGTATAAAGCAAGGATAAGAAAACGAAAGATAAACAACCAAAGTGAGGTAAGATTATTAAAAAATATAATAATTTTTACCAGGTTGTAAGAAGCTGTGAGTTTCATTGACTGGTTGTAATGTACGTAACAATTTGCATAATTGGATCAAAATCTCATCAATCAAATAATTTTCCTACTTACATTGTGAATATAAATTATGTACAAAAAGCATTTTTCTTGACCACCGAATCCTTTTTCGATACAAATTATTTAAAATTTATTTTTACTTGCACATTCTTTTAGGGTCCGTTTGATTACAAATGTGGAAAATGGATAGAAAGAAAATGTTTTACATGGAATTGATTTGCATAAAAACTGTTTTACTGGGAATTGTAATTAATTGCATTTGATTGGTATAATTTTTCGCGGAAAATGTTGAAAGTTTGGTATCCGTTTGGCTTCGATTTTTATGAAAATTGTCCATTAAAGTGATAATATTATCTACCATTAGGTCTAGAATTTGTTCCAATTGTCCAAAAAAAATAACCATACCGAATACCATTCGTTTGACTTTGTTTTGCATACAAATTGTCAATAAAAGTGAATTTTTTTTTTGTTACCATTGTGTCTAAAATTTTTTCCAATTGCCAAAAAACCTGAAAAATATTTATCCACCAAAATATCAAGAATTTATTTTCCTCAAAAATGTGGAAAATATTTTTTCGGGAAAATTTTGGCTATCAAATACTACAAAAGTTTGAAAATGAATTTTTTTTTTCCCATTTTCCATGAAAAATGTGCGCTATCAAATGGGACCTTAGTAATCGATAATTTTTCTTTCCTTTTAACAGCATAATTTCAGGAAAAAACATAGTTATGTTTGATAGGCATTATTTTCCTTGGAAGTTAGAAAAAGAATTCCATTTTCCTCAAAAAATGGTGTTTGATGGAAAATTTTTTACCACCCATATATTTTCCCACCCTAGACCCACGCACCCCCTTTTCCTTGAAATGGATGTAATGGTTTTCCCACCTTTTTGGTGGGAAAACTATTTTCCAGGTTCTAATTTTTTTTTTCACTTTTTTTTTTGCAATGGAAACAAATTTCATAACCAATTGTAAAAAAAAAATTCACTTTCATAGACAATTTTCATATAAAACAAAGTCAAATGAACACTAAACTTTGATGAAAAAAATGATTTTTTAGGAAACAATTTTTTTTTTCATTTTTTTTTTTTTTTTTTTTTGTCA